AACTCCCGAAGAGTATATGTGAGGAGATCAATGGAATTCTAGCTAAATTTTGGTGGAATAATACTGAAGATAAAAAAGGGATGCATTGGTTTGCGTGGAAACGAATGGGAATGTCAAAGAAAGACGGAGGTATGGGATTTCGGGATATCGAGAATTTTAATTTAGCGCTACTCGGTAAACAAGTGTGGCGCATTATGCAGAAACCAGAGTGCCTCATGGCAAGAATGTTAAAGCGTCGTTATTTTAACGATACCAATATTCTTAATGCTACTCCGCAGAGGAAGGCTTCGTTTGTTTGGAAATCATTGATGCAAGGCCGAGATCTCATAAAACGAGGACTCAGATTTATAATTGGAGATGGTTCACACATTAACACTTGGGTGGATCCATGGTTACCGGTACATCCACCGCGGCCACCTCGAGCAAAGAACAATCAATCGGCGAGTTTCCTTTTGACAGAGTGGATTCAGCCTTCAGGAAGGCTATGGAAAGAGGATATAATCAGAGATATGGTGATAGAGGAAGATGCAAACTTAATTTTGACCATCAAGCTTTGTTCTAATACTACTAGAGATATTCTGGGCTGGCATTACACAAAGAACGGAATATACTCAGTTAAATCTGCGTATTGGCTTGCGAATCAATTATATATGGATCCCACTACTCAGCCCCCCCCCAGGAAACGTTGCACTCAAAGCAAAAATATGGAAGCTCCATACTGCTCCGAAAATCAAACATTTCTTATGGAAGATTTGTTCTGAGGCTTTAGCAACGGGAGATAATCTTCGTCGCAGACACATCAACAACCATTCTATATGTCGCATATGCTGTCAGGATGAGGAAACGTCACAGCATTTATTTTTTGATTGTTTTTATGCTCAACAGGTTTGGCGCGCATCGGGCATTCCCCATCATATTCTAACAAGCGTTGGTGCATCGGTAGAGACAAAGTTGGAGATCATTCTATCAAGAATTTTGGCTAAAAATCAACCGCAACTATCTCAACTTGCACTTTGGATTATGTGGAGACTTTGGAGGAGTAGAAACCAGCTTGTTTTTCAGCACCAGAATTTATCTTGGCAAAGTACACTAAAGCGAGCAAAGGATGACGTACAAGAATGGGAGAATGCGCAAGAATATATCCAAAGTCTGAATCATTACACAGTAAGAGAAGGCTGCAACAATCGGGAATCGACACATCAGAAATGGGAACAACCACCAATGGGATGGATTAAATGCAACTATGATGGCTCTTTCAATTACCGCACACAACAAACAAACTCAGGATGGCTAATCAGAGACGACAAAGGATTCTATAAAGGAGCAGCACAAGCAGTTGGAGGAACAATGAATAATGCTTTGGACAGTGAACTCCAAGCTTTGGTCATGGCCATGCAGCATACTTGGAGTCAAGGGTACCGTAAAGTCATCTTTGAAGGTGATAGCAAACAGGTGGAAGAACTACTGAACAGAAAACAAATGCATTTTGGAGCTTTTAATTGGATACGTGAAGCTTGGTCATGGCGAAAACGTTTTGAAGAAGTTATTTTCAGTTGGACGCCGAGAACGAACAACCAACCGGCTGATATGCTTGCAAAATCTCATCTGCCACAAGACACTTCCTTTATTTATCATTACTTTGTACCAAATTTTATCACAAACGCCCTACACTGTAATCACTATTAATCATATCAATTGAAAGAAGCTGTTAAAAAAAAAAAAAAACTTCATTATATTTACCGTTTTATGATTATAGAATATTTACAAACAAAGAATTATATATTATAGTCACTCATATTATACTATTACTACTTGAATTCAATAAAAAAAAGTTGGATAAAGATCTTTTCACATAAACAACCCCTTATACTATTAAGGAATAGAGAGTATGAGATGAGTTAATATGAAGAAGAATAAGTGAAAACAATATTTTAACGAATATGATTCTATAAAAACCTTGAAAATATAAAATAATAAAGAGAAATCATAGGTTCAACTTCTAATATGTTATTAACATATTAATCCAACTGAAAATAAAGAAAACATTTGAAAAGTCCTACTATGTGTTTTATACTACAAGTGGACAACTGTGTATATACAAATGAATATTAATTGGATCCCACATTTTGTGGATGTGATGCAACAAAATACATTTAAGTGTGTCTCAAATTGTAAGGTGACAAAATTAAAGGAAAAAACCCCGACAAAACATTGATTTATTTTTAATTTGTCCGTTTAATACCTATATTATTTAATTTGCCCGTTTAATACTTAAGTTAATTTTTTTATCTTTTAAAAACCTTTATTTTTAAAATTTTTGGCAAAATGAGACATCCGAGTTAACGGCCGTTAACAGCGGTAACGAAATCGCTAACCGCAGTTAAAACTTAACCCTATGATGTTTACTATTTATATACAATTGTTTTTCTAAGTGTTACGAATATATTGTCTAAGTTAGGTGGTTATGTGAGAGTTTATTCCTCGTGAACATGAGTTCGATTCCCACATCCGAACCTTTTTTTGGACGTTTTTTTTAATCTGACGGCGGCCCATAGTTGATTAGGTTTTCGATTCTCTTTCTCTTCGTATTTGAAGCTACCAAAACCCTAATTCTATCAATTTGAAATCTTCAATTTCACGTGGGCGAACATTTACCTTCTCAACCATCATCTGATACTCATCCCCCAAATCAACCAAAATCACCCAATCATGGAACCCCTAATCCAATTCCACCGGAAACCAACGATGACGATGCAGCCTCATCCGCCAAAGTTTCTGGCTCAATCATCCCATCAAACATCCGCCTGAGCTTTCGAGAACATTTTCATTGCATATGTTGAATTCTAAAAATTCAATTAGTAAGCAAAATAAATGATTTTGATTTGTAAGTGAAAAAAGGAATTTTTGAAAGTAAAAAATACAATACAAAATCCAAAATATTTGTTGGATATGAGATTCGATCTCGGGTTGATGAGGATGGTAATCTCTCACATAACCACCAAACTAAGATAATATGCTCATATTAATTAGAAAAACAATTGTATATACATAGTAAACATCATAGGGTTAAGTTTTAACTGTGGTTAGCAGTGCTAATGGCCGTTAACTCGGATGTCTGATTTTGCCAAAATTTAAAAACATGAAGGTTTTTAAAAGACATAAAAATTAACTTAAGTATTAAACGGGCAAAGTTACATAATGCATGTATTAAACAGGCATATTATAAATAAATGGAGGTTTTTTCGGGATGTTTCCCAAAAATTAATAAATCTTCCACTTGCATTGTGAAGTGAGAGTTGCACAATTATGGGCATGACCTTAATTATAGCCCAATATCTGGCCCATTAGTACACAACACAGTTTTTTTGCCCGGCTGATTACAACTAGCAAAAAAGGCAAATCGGTTTGAACACAACTTTAGATAATCTGATTAAATTGCAACTAAACCGGAATGTTGAATCTAGCATATGAAGTGCAACTAATTCAACTAGTTCATCTTTTCTCGAAATAAGATTCATTATATTTGTCGTTTCATGATAATAGAATATTTACAAACAAAGATTTATTTATTATATTAAGAATTAATTACTCATATAGCATAGAAAAGTATATTTATTCCTAAAATATCATACATCTTTTTTTAATTACTCAAATGTTTTGAGCATTTGTGTAATTACAATTTAAAATCCTTGATTAGTTTTTTTAATTAATAATTTTTAATTCATTTTTAGTTAAAAATAATAAATAAAATTTTGATTATCCATGTCATTAACACACATCACCAATCTCACACTCCTCAAACTCACTTTATTTCCCCTCTTCTCTTTTTTGTCTCCAAATCCAAAAAAACTTTTAGAACTAATAATCTTTAACTAACTTGGGTACAACATGAACATAGATCTTCAAATTGCTGGATTGCGCTGGATCTTCCTAGATCTCACAGCCACAACATTTGCCATAGGGTCCCAAATCAAAAGCTTCGTCAAATCAAAAGTCATCAAAAATCAAAACCCAAATCAAACAGATCTATGGAATTTAAAACGATTCGTTACAGGTTTGAGTTGAAATCAAGAATAGCTACTCTTTTACTTTTATTTTACATGTCTTTAGTTTAGTCTTCCTCTCAATCGATCTATTTGGAGACATTTGTACTTCTATCTATGTTTTGATTCATACGGTTTAGTCTTCCTCCTATGTATCCCTCAAACATATTTTTACGTTTTTAATTTGACTGTTGTTATTTGACCAATAAATATCATATTGTCTTTCCCAAAAATATGTTGTTTTCCGATCTGTATTATAAATCAGCCGTAAAGTAATGTAACTCAGCCGTAACGTGATGTAACTCAGCCGAAACATATAATTTAGACAACCTTTCGTCTTCCCTGAATGATAACTCAGCTGTGACATGTAATTTACCGAATGTTCTCTTCACTGAAACATATAACTCAGCCATAACATATAATTTACACCTATCTTTTGTCTTTACTTGAGCATATAACTCAGCTGTGACATGTAAATATACCAAACAGTTTGTTTTCCCTTAAGCATATAACTCAGCCGTAATGTAATTTTACCAAACCTTTCGTCTTCCCTGGAACATATAACTCAGCCATGACATGTAAATTGACCGAACCTTTCTTCTTTCCTTAAGCATATAAGTCAGCCGCAATGTAATTTTACCAAACCTTTCGTCTTTCCTGGAACATATAACTCAGCCGTGACATGTAAATTTACCGAACCTTTCGTCTTTCCTTAAACATATAACTCGGCCGTTACATGTAAATTTGCGCAAAACAGTAAGAGACGCAACATTTCGTCTAACTTTATCATCGAACACCAACTTCACAAGTTTTTCGTGCGTTGTTTACGCATCTACCACAACTCTACACCCTCTTTCATCGGTGTTAAATATGTATTTGTGTTTCTACACCCAATTACCGGAAACAACAATTACCGGAACCGAATCAACCATATCTGGAGATGGATGAAAGAAATTGAAGAATAATGAGAAAGACGATGAGGAATTAAAAAGTTTCGGTGATGTGAAAAACTCAGGTGAAGAAGACGAGTTGAAAAATTTGGCCCTCTTTTTTGTCCTTTGATGATGATGACATTGAATGTTGGATCCGACGTCATTTTTTAATTGATGAAGTGGCAAGTAAGCCACCAAACAAAGATGTAAATTTGCCTAAATAAATAAGCCATCAAACAAATCTATAAGTCAGTCGCAACATGAATACTATTACAATAATTGAAAAACGAAAAAAACGCCAAGTTAATTAATACAGCCGTATAGAATCGTAACTCAACCGACAATCAATACCTCAGCCATATCGTTTATTAACTCGGTCGTAACTCTATGCTATTTTAGTAATTAATCTTTTCCAACTAAGTCAGCCGTAACAAGCGTGAGTTATTGGTTAATCCAGCCGTAACGACATCCCATAACTAAGCCGTCTTTGATAACCCAGCCATCCAGAAAAAGATAACTCAGTCGTGTCGAGGAAATAACTTAACCTAACGTTGTCAGGGTTATGCTCGAAATTCTCATAAATTAGAGAAATTTCATTAACTTAGTCGTAATGTAGGCTAGGTTATTTCATAACTCAAACAAATTTTATAAATCAGATCCCTTATATAAATCAGTCGTAACGTAGGCTGAGTTATACTCATAATTCTACCGTTTTCTCATAAGTCATAACTCATATATTTTTGTCGTAAGTCAGCCGCAACATACCGTAACTCAGCCGTATCTGCCAATGTATCGCCTTATGGATGAGTTCATTAATCCACATCAGCTATTTCTGACGTGGCAGTGGCATTCCTTGTATTTACGTTTTTTCCTGTAACGTTTAGTAGGGGCACAATGGGTATACAAAAAAGGCCGAAATATGACAGTAATAAAAAAAAGTTCCTTATGGTTCTGGTGAATACACCTAATTTCTTTTCTATTTGAGTAAAGTTCCCTTATATTAATCCATATTATACTATTACTATTTTAATTTAATGAAAATAAATCGGATTAACATGTTTTCACATAAACAACCCCTTCTACTATAAGAAATCGATAGTATGAGATGAGCCAATATAAAGAATAATCAGTGAAAACAATATTTTAACGAATAATATTCTATGAAAACCTTGAAAATATAAAACAATGAAGAGAAATCATTTTTTCAACGTCTAATAAGTTATTAACATATTAGGCCAACTGATATAAAGAAAACATTGAAAAGTCCTACTATGTGTTTGATAGTATAAGTGGACAAGTGTGTGTATAATTCCATCTCGTAAATACAAGTGAATATTAATTGGATCCCACATTTTGTGGATGCTACGCAACAAAATACATTTTAATGGGTCTCGAATTGTTAGGTGTGAAAATTAAAAAAATATTTGATAAGTGTGTATTTTGCATGTTTTGAGCATCCATTTGTCATCACTTTAGCACCATATCATCACTGTTTTATACCATTTTTCATCATTTGTCATCACTTTGCATGTTTAGGATAGGATTGCATGCATGCTGCATATTTGTGTTGATTTCAGGTGATTTGGAGCTGTTGACGAGCTAACTGGAAGAAGCGGACCTGATCATGTCAAACCACTCGACCATGAGGTAGAGTAGAAGCTTCAAGACCTCAAGAGACCACTCAACCCCCAGGTCAAGTAGGGAATTTCACGATTTCATCATATCACTCGACCCCCTGGTCGAGTGTCTTCACCTCCACCACCTGACCATCACTCGATCACTCCACTCGACCCCGAGGTCGAGTATCTTCACCTCCATTACCAGATCACCACTCGATCAAGTCACTCTACCAAGAAGTCGAGTATCTCCATCACCACCACTCGACTACCTACTCGATGGCGGGCTTCAGAGTCTTCTCCTTTCCGCACTCAACCAGACACTCGAGCACAAGGAAGAAAAGAAGACTCCAGCTATTCACTCGACCTCTCACTCGACCACCGGGGTCGAGTACAGTTCTTAATCCGTCCCAATACTGCGTCGTTTTGAGTATTAGGGTTTCAGAATATTTTGCTATAAGTAGCATGTTTTAACATTTTCGAGAACAAGTTTTTATCTAGTTTTATTCCGCAGACACTGTGTTCTAGAACTTTTGTAATCCGGATTTCTCTTTATCTATTCAGTATTCAGTATTTGTTCTTGATTTCGTTTACTGTTGTTCATCCTGTTATCATTCTGCTATTACACTGTTGTTATCATGTCTTCATTCCATTCAACGTTTATGCTTTCTGCTATGATGTCTGAGTAGTGAATAGGTTTCTGAGGATGGGTTAGAGTAGTGTAGAATTCTCAGTATGCTAGGTGGTTGAGTATTGATTGATAGATCCCTTCTGGATTAGTTGTTCTTAATGCCTATTGCTTTCTGATCAACTGGAATTTGAGCCCAGACATTTCCGCGCCCAAAAGGTGTTCGATGAAATGTCTGAACCACTAATTCCAGAGATTCGTGGCCCTGTACCAAGGTATTGGTTGCAGGGAGCGTTTTGGCTTTAACTTGTTGATTCGTAATGCCTGTTAGGTTAGCTCTCGTCAATGGTGATTGAGTCTGGGACTAGGTTAACTTGAGGGTCTCTGTTGCGGTGGCACTTAGATTTGGTTAATGAACTTGTTGTTTAGGGATAATTTATTGAGCATGTCAATCACCTGTAAACTGAGGAAACGAAACTACTCAATTACCCCATCCTCGAAAATTCTTTATCCGATTGATTTTATTGGTTACTCTACTACTGTTTACTACATCTTGTCATCTGTTGCTTAGTTTCTACAATTCTTTACTGTTACTCGACCTGATACTCGACCACCCAGTTGTCTGGTAACAGACTATGTAGTCGAGTATCCTGTTACATTTTCTGTCTGTTACTCGACATGTCACTCGACCACACCCAGTGCTCTGCTACGAGTTGTGTTGGTCGAGTGTTTTATTGTTTCTGCTTGATTTTCTGTTTTATGCATGTTCACTTAGGACTGCTAGAACACACCAAAACCTGTTATTGCTTGGCTTGACTTAGTGACTTCTGATCACATCTTGATTGTTAGCATCACACCCATTTGGATTGACAACCTAAAATACTACAACGACATGATTGGTGTTTTAGGATAATTGACTAAAAAACCTATTATCAATATTCCACTTGCATTGTCAAGTAAGAGTTGCAAAATTTTGGGCCAAAACTTAATTATAGTCCAATACATGTCTCATTAGTACACAACACAATTTTTTGGCCCGGGCTAAGTTCAACTAGTTAAAACGGTAAATCTGTTTGAACACATCTTCAGATAACCCGATTAAATTGCCATTAAACTGCAATGTTGAATGTGGCATATGACGTGCAACTAGTTCAACTAGATCATCTACGAAGGACATAAAATTCATTATATTTGACCTTGTATGATTATAGAATATTTACCAACTGGTTTATTATATTCACGCATATTATATTATTACTATTTAAATTAAATTAAAAATTTAGATAATGATATTTAAACTTAAACAACCGCTTCAACTCTCTAGAATAAATAGTATGAGATGAGCTAATATGAAGAATAATAAGTGAAACAATATTTTAACGAATATGATTTTATGAAAATCTTGAAAATACAAAATAGTAAAGAGAATTCATGTGTTCAACTTTTAATAAGTTATAAACATACTAGTCTAACTGAAAATAAGGACAACATGGAAAAGTCCAACTATGTGTATGATACTACAAGTGGTCAACTATGTGTATAATTCCATTTAATAAATACAAATGAATATTATTTAGGTCCCACATTTTATGGATGCGATGCAACAAAATACATTTAAGTGGGTCTCAAATTGATATAGGGAAAATTTAAAAATGTTTAAAAATTCTAGGGTTTCACACTATTTATTTGGCCTTTCTTTTATAGTTTCATCTTCACTCTTCATATTCCTCTTCGAGCAAGATATATAGATCGGCAGCGAGGCATAGATTTCTTTCTTAAATTACCTGCAATTTGTTTCTATGAGTCTCGATTCGGCTAAACTTGGTATGCATCAACGTGTTTTGTAATAGCCGACTCTCGATTTAGGGTTCTAATGGTTTAATTTTTAAATACAAGATCTTAGTTTTGTTTATGTTATCTGTGAAGTAAGATCTGTGTTTGTATTCATGCCAAACAAGTATACACAAAGCTAAGACTCAAAAGCAAATGTGGATTTCAGTTGGGTTAGAGCAGGCGGTAATTGGGGTGTTCCTAGAAGGTGTTATTGTGGAAGAATTGTGACACTGACATTGCGTAGAAGTGGCACTTATCAAGGAAGAAAACGATACAAATTTTCAATGAATGTGACTGGGGTATGTCTTGATTTTTCAGTTAGTAATCAACTAGTTCAACTAAGGTTATGTTTTCAACTTGTTGAACCTGGTGTTAATTAAAGTTATTGTAAAATATAAATCTAGCTTGATGGGGAACACTTGAATAAGTGGTGGGATCAAGCGGTTGATGAGGAGGTAAAACAATTACAGAGCAAAATTGAAAGCGAGATATAAGCAATTCAACATGTTTACCAAAGTCCTATCTTGGAATCAATTCGGCAGTCAATGCGAGAAATGCGTGCTCAAATCATTGATCTTGAGGATCGAATAGCTCAAAAAGAAACCGAGAATGGTAGGCTGAAGGACCATCTACGTAGGAGGTAGTTAGGGATACCTCTTTGTTGTGTTAAGATATTATGTATGCTATGTTTAATTGTTTAATTTATGTACTCTTTGTTATGTATGGTGTGCTCTCAATATCAGTTGCACTCTCAATACCAGTTGAACCAACTAATTTGTACTTTAAATACTAGTGGAACCCACTCAGTTGTACTCTACATACTTGTTGAACCCAGTCCAACACTTGAAGCAATCACTAAGTAAACATAATTAACTTACTTTTGTTCCCAATCAAACCTAAAAATACATGTGTCCAAAATAACATAAAAACAACATGTGCCCAGAATTATCTAGAATAAACATCCACACAATCTACAACACTCTCAACCTTACTTATTTCTCTTTCGCTTCACTTTTAGTTCCATAATAGGTGGCTTAATATGTTGGGATGCTTCCTTTGTTTGCT